CTCCTGGATAACGATCAGGGAGGGAGTGTGTGGCGGCGTGTGGCACAAGGAATCACTTGCAGGTAGACAAGTGAGGTGAGGTATGAGTTAGAACCCCTCCTGCTAGCTCTTTGGGGGCAGGTGTGTGTGGGGGGGGTGGTGGCAGTGTGTGTGTGTGGTGGGGGGCAGGTGTGTGTGGGGCAGTGTGTGTGTGTGTGTGGGGGCAGGTGTGTGTGGGGAGTGGGTGTGTGTGTGGGTATGTGATTCTATGGGGGTAGGTGTGTGTGGGGGTGTGTGTGTGTGTGGGGGCAGGTGTGTGTGTGTGTGCGGGGTATGTGATTGCATGGGGGTAGGTGTGTGTGTGTGGGGGGGCAGGTGTGTGTGTATGGAGGGTATGTGATTGATAAGGGGGTAGGTGTTGTGTGTGTGTGTGTGTGGGTGTGTGGATGGCAGGGTGTGTGGGGGTCGGTGTGTGTGTGGGGGTCGTGTGTGTGGGTATGGGGTGTGTGTGGGGGGTGTGTGTGGGGGCGGTGTGTGTGTGTGGGGGTCGGTGTGTTTGGGGGGTGTGTGGGGGTCGTGTGGGGGGTCGGTGTGTGTGTGTGTGGGGGGCGTGTGTGTGGGGGTCGGTGTGTGTGTGGGGTGGTGTGTGTGTGGGGGTGTGTGTGTGTGTGGGGGGTGTGTGTGTGTGTGGGGCGGTGTGTGTGTGTGGGGGGGTCATTGTGTGGGTGGCAGGTGTGTGTGTGGGAGGGTCGGTGTGTGTGTGTGGGGTCGGTGTGTGTGTGTGGGGGGTCGTGTGTGTGTGGGGGGCGGTGTGTGTGGGGTATGTCATGTGTGGGTGGCAGGTGTGTGGGGGTTGGTGTGTGTGGGGGGGCTGTGTGTGTGTGGGAGGGTCGGTGTGTGTGTGGGAGGGTGGTGTGTGTGTGGGAGGGGGTGTGTGTGTGTGTGGGGGGTCAGTGTGTGTGTGTGTGGGGGTCGGTGTGTGTGTGTGGGGGGTCGGGGGTGTGTGTGTGTGTGTGTGGAGGGGTCGGTGTGTGTGTGGGGGGTCGGTGTGTGTGTGTGGGGGGTCGGGTGTGTGTGTGTGGGGGGGTCGGTGTGTGTGTGGGGGGTATGTCATTGTGTGGGTGGCAGGTGTGTGTGGGGGTCAGTGTGTGTGTGTGGGGGGTCGGTGTGTGTGTGTGGGAGGGTCGGTGTGTGTGTGGGGGGTTGGTGTGTGTGGGAGGGCAGTGTGTGGGGTATGTCTGTGTGGGTGGGTGTGTGTGGGGGGTTGGTGTGTGTGGGGGGTCGGTGTGTGTGTGTGTGGGGTCGGTGTGTGTGTGTGGGGGCCGGTGTGTGTGGGAGGGGTCGGTGTGTGGGGGCGGTGTGTGTGTGTGTGTGGGTGGCGGTGTGTGTGTGGGGTGTGTATTGTGTGGGGGGGTGGTGTGTGTGTGGGGGTGGTGTGTGTGTGGGGGGTCGGTGTGTGTGTGTGTGGGGGGCGGTGTGTGTGGGGTGTCGTGTGGGTGGCAGGTGTGTGTGTGGGGGCGGTGTGTGTGTGTGGGGGTATGTGATCGTGGGTGGCAGGTGTGTGGGGGTATGTCACTGTGTGTGGGTGGTGTGTGGGGGTTGGTGTGTGTGTGGGGGTCGGTGTGTGTGTGTGTGGGGAGGGGTCGGTGTGTGTGTGGGGTATGTCATTGTGTGGGTGGCAGGTGTGTGTGGGGGGTTGGTGTGTGTGTGTGGGGGTCGGTGTGTGTGTTGGGTATGTGGTCGTGGTGGGTGGCAGGTGTGTGGGGGCATGTGGGTGTGGGTGTGTGTGGGGGTGGTGTGTGTGTGGGGGTCGTGTGTGTGGGGGGTCGGTGTGTGTGTGTGTGTGGGGCGGTGTGTGTGTGGGTGTCATTGTGTGGGGGCGGTGTGTGTGTGGGGGTCGGTGTGTGTGTGTGGGGGCATGTGATCGTGTGGGTGGCAGGTGTGTGGGGGTAATTGTGGGGGGGTGTGTGTGGGTGTGTGTGTGGGGGTCGTGTGTGTGTGTGTGGGGGTTGTGTGTGTGGGGGTCGGGTGTGTGTGGAGGTGTGTGTGGGGGTAGGATCGTGTGGTGGCAGGTGTGTGTGGGGTAGTGTGTGTGTTGTGTGGGGTCGGAGTGTGTTGGATGATTTTCGGTTGGATGTTAAATTTGGGGTAAAATTAGGTTGACTTTGATGATGATGGTGAGGTGTTAATTAAACGGTGGGTGTGTGTGTGTGTGTGTGTGTGTGTGTGTGTGTGTGTGTGTGTGTTACTTTGTTTTCTTGTACCTCGATAGAAGAGCCATTCATTCCCACCCTGAAGGACTCTTATATATTGTGTGGGTGGAGGGAAGGAAAGGGGTGGGTGGAGGAAGAGCGGCGCCCATCCCTGCCATAAAAGACTAGGGGTTTGGTGTGGGTGGAAGGAAAGAAGACTAGATATTCTGTGGGTGGAGGGAAAGAAGGGAGGTGGAGGTGGCCCGCTGACCGTGTGGTGGTGCGGGCTGTCACTGATACTCGCTACCAACATTCACTGAGACTCGCTGGAAGGAGGATCAATCAAATGTTAGCGATAATAAAAGTGAGCGAGGGAGGAGGCGCAACTTCTGGCCGCTACAACACCAACCACTTTTTTTCTCACTCTTTGTAGTTGTTGTGATGTTAGTTGTCATTGTTTTTGTTATTTTTGTTGTATTTGTGATGTTGTAGTAGTTGTTCTTGTAGGAAGAGATGGTGGGTGTGTGTGTGTGTGTGTGTGTGTGTGTGTGTGTGTGTGTGTGTGTGTGTGTGTGTGTGTGTGAGGGTGAGCTGACTTCACTTGGCAATGCTGTTTTATTTTCTGTTGACTGCCGAGTTGAAACTTTGCTGCCTAGATCTTGGTAACACTGTTTCTAGGATTTTTTGTTCTACTAGTATTTGGTACTTGGTAACACCTTTTTACGGTTCGATATTACCTTGGTAACACTGGGTATCTCTTAACTACTGTCACATCGACTTAATACTTGGTAACACTGTTTTTCTAAATATACCTGGTAACACTGGTCTCCTTACATATATTTTTGGCAACACTTTATCTCTAAACATGTACTTGGTAACACTGAGTTTCTAAATATACTTGGTAACACTGGGTCTCCTTACATATATTTTGGCAACACTGTATCTCTAAACATGTACTTGGTAACACTGAGTTTCTAAATATACTTGGTAACACTGGGTCTCCTTACATATATTTTCTGCAACACTGTATCTCTAAACATGTACTTGGTAACACTGAGTTTCTATGTACAGTATAGTTATAATGCTTCACTCATTATACTGTATATCCCAACAATACAGTTTTAACCTTATTTTCATTTATTAATTTCTGATTATTTTTAAATCTATATTATTTTTTAACTTTATCTAATTAATCCATATATGTGATTTTCCTAATAATTTTCTCGTCATTATTATAAACATTTATTCTGGATCACCTGAAGAATAGCCACCCCAGCTTATTTCACCTGAAGATTAATCACCCTAACACTATTTGGAGGGGGGAGAGGTGAGGTTAGGTTAGGATAGGATAGGATAGGATAGGATAGGATAGGATAGGATAGGTTCGGTTAGGTTAGGTTAATATTTAGGTGAAATAAACTGGGGTGGCTATTCTTCAGGTGGCCTTTTACTATTAGGTGTATTTTCAACAATTATATAATGTCATAAGTGAGTTGCTTCTATGGAAATATATACTGGATAGCCAGAAACTATAAATGAGAAGAAATATATACCTATACTGTATAGAGATTCTGTTACGGTTTGCTATATAGTTTGAGCGGGATCTTGTGTGTAAACAATAGTCTCTTATATACAGGTTATATAGTATGTTTTATAGGTCTGGTTATAGCGTTTTCCTGGGGGGGGGGGGTGGGGGGTGGGGGGGGATGATCATTTTTACCCCCTTTTCACTTTCTCCTAAAAAACACAGAGAGAGAGAGAAAGTGAGAGCGAGTGAGAGTGAGAATATAAAAGGGAGTTATCAGCGGACGCCAGTGGGCCAGGCGGGCCAGTGTCCACGACCAGTATTAAAATCCGCGTGTTGTGTTGCCTGATAAGGGAAGGATGTGATGGGTGCCGCATCACCTCCAACCCAGCCACCCCGCCCGTCCGCCCGTGTCTCCTCCACCACCACCTCCTCACTCCTTCTCCTCCTCCTCCTCTGCCAGCACTACATTCTTCTTATTTTTCCTCCTCCTTCACATTCTTCCTTCTCCACAGTCTTCCTCCTCCACCACCACATTCTCCTCCAACACATCATACTTTCTCCCTCCCCCTTCCTTTCCCCCACCACCACTACCACAGTCACCATCACAGCCACTAGTCACCAACATAGCCACCATCACCACCACAATCACCATCACCACTCCTCTGGATAGCTGTGTAACACATAGAGAGAGAGAGAGAGAGAGAGAGAGAGAGAGAGAGAGAGAGAGAGAGAGAGAGAGAGATATATATTTATAGATGGCCTCCTCGGCTGCTCTGGGTGGCAGTGGTGGGTACAGTGTAGGTGATAGTGATGGTGATAGTGGTGGTGATGGTAGTACTAAGAGTGTTGACGACCAGAAGCGTGATGAATGTTGGTGAGGGAGGGAGAGTGAGTGTCACATCTCCATATCACACAAAGTCACACACACACACACACACACACACACACACACACACACGTTGCTTAAGGTATTTCACAGGTGAGAGTATGTGTGTATGGAGGATAGCTAACAGGTGTGTGATGAAGGAATTGGTAACAGGTGTGTGATGAAGGTGTAGAATTGGTAACAGGTGTGTAATGGTAGAATTGGTGGAACGTGTATGGGGTGTAGTGAGGGTGTACGACAAGAGGGGGGCGGACAGGTAGGGGTGTAGGACAGGTAGGTTGGGAACAGGTGGTTGTAGGACAGGTCGGTGTAGGACAAGTAGGGTGTAGAACAGGTGAGGTGGACAGGTAGGTGTAGAACAGGTGGGTGAACAGGTGGGTGACACTGTGGAGGTCGTGTGGCTGCCGAGTTACGCATGACGAGGTGCTTTTGTCTCGGCTATAGAGGCTCTCCCCAACACCCTGCTTGTGGCTACCTGATACCCGCCCCTTCTGCCTCGCCTCCTGCGCGCCCCCTTCTGCCTCGCCTCCTGCACGCCCTTCTGCCTCTGCCTCCTGCACGCCCCTCCTGCCTCGCCTCCTGCACGCCCCTTCTGCCCTGCCTCCTGCACGCCCCCTCCTGCCTCGCTCCTGCACGCCCTCCTGCCCCGCCTCCTGCACGCCCCTTCTGCCCCGCCTCCTGCAGCCCCTCCCTGCTTCGCTCTGCACGCCCTCCCACCTCGCCCCTGCACGCCCCTTCTGCTTCTGCCTCCTGCAGCCCCTTGCCTCGCCCTCCTGCACGCCTCTGCCTCGCCTCCTGCTTCTGCCTCCTGCTTGCCTCCTGCACCCTCCTGCCTCGCCTCCTGCACGCCCTCCTGCACGCCCTCCTGCCTCGCCTCCTGCACGCCCTTCTGCCCGCCTCCTGCACGCCCCTCCTGCTCCCGCCTCCTGCACGCCCCTCCTGCCCGCCCTCCTGCCTCGCCTCCTGCACGCCTCTGCCCCGCCTCCTGCACGCCCTCCTGCCCGCCTCCTGCACGCTCCTGCCTCGCCCTCCTGCCTCGCCTCCTGCACGCCCTCCCGCCTGCCCACTGCACGCCCTCCTGCCTGCCTCTGCACGCCCCTCCTGCCCTGCCTCCTGCACGCCCCCTTCTGCCCGCCTCCTGCATGCCCTCCTGCTCGCCTCCTGCAGCCCTCCTGCCTCGCCTCCTGCACGCCCCTCTGCTTCGCCTCCTGCACGCCCTCCTGCCTCGTGACACCTCACCTAACCTAACCTCCAGGTAGCCTTAGGTCTCAGGGTTGACTATAGTAAGTAGTGTTGGGTGTGTACAGGTTGACGCACTTAGCTCAGGCTAACTCACAAGGTTCTCAGTTAACTGTTGATTGTAGTGTGTATTGTTGTTATTGTTTGTCTTAATGTTATTGTTGTTTTGATTGTTTTTCTTGTTATTGTTTGTTTTTATCGTTATTATTATTGTTATTATTGTTGTTGTTATTATTTTTTATTATTGTTATTGTTTTTATCGTTATTATTATTGTTGTTATTGTTATTATTTTTTTATTATTATTGCTATTATTATTGATATTCTTATTCTTAATTTTATTATTGTTGTTATTGGTTGTTCAATTCCTCTCTCACACACACACACACACACACACACACACACACACACACACACACACACACACACACACACACACACACACGAGGCTGTCTCCACCTTCAGTCACTCACCTGTGGCGTCCCCACACCAAGATGGGACCACTCTGCTTCCTTATGCTCATCAATGATGCCCTAAGAGAAGCCCCGCTCGCTGGAAATATGTCGACGACTCCACCATTGGGATCAGCGTCAACAATCCGCTCCCAACTATACCGCCTTCAGGATTTATTGAACAGTCTCCAAAACTGGGCCACCAACAACCATGTCACCATCAACCATACCAAGACAATGGTGCATCAACCCCTCCGACATTGTCCCACCTCCTTCCATTACCCTAGGTCCGAACACACCCAGGTTGTAGATTCCACGAAGCTCCTCGGCGTCACCATAGACAACAAACTAAATTGGAAACCACACGTCAGTGGTTGTCAATCAGTTTCCGTCTCCACCTCCTCCGCCGACTCAAGTCCTCAGGTTCCTGCACCGAGCTCCTCAGTGTTTACACAACATTCATACTTCCCAAGCTCACCTATGCCTCCCCACCTGGTCTTCCTCCCAATGCCACACAAACACCTAGAAAGAAGATTATTCCTTCCTATCCACATATCAAGAAGCGCTCAACACACTGACCCTTTCGACTCTCACTGACCATCACCACGACCTCATCTGCAAATTTGGTAGCTTCTACACCATCCCCGACACCGGCCCTACTACCACCTGAGATCCCTGTCCGAGAATTGCTGTTCGACACCACAACCGCATCCAGCCCATACGTGCACGAACTGATCGCTATAAGAACAGCCCAGTCCCAACCATTGTAAAAAATCAATAACATGTAATAAATCAGTGTATTCACTCCCAGTAAACACTGCCCTACACTGTCACTATGCTGAAATGAACTGTATTTTGAGCTGATCCCATCTAAGTTACTATATGTCTTATTTGTGTCACTTATGTCACTTGTATATTATTTGTAATTCGTAACCCATTCCCAAATATGTAACTGTATATTTTCAGCCTTCTGGCTGCCAAGCTCTTTCAATAAACCGTTAATTATTATTATTATTTTTATTATTATTATAATCTGTATGTACCGCAAAGACAAACAAATAAATTAGAAAACGAACAAATAAGTACTCCATGTAAGTACTAAAGAGAAAGAACAAAAATAATAATAATAATAATAATAATAATAATAATAATAATAATAATCATACTCCCAAGTGTGTTCAGTGAGCAGTAAAAGTGTTGGCGGGTTTCAGAAAGTTTGGGTCGTGTCGTAATGTATCGTGGTGTGTGGCAGAAAGGATCGCTCGGGCTGGCGTGTGAGTTTTGACATATCCCGGCTGGTGTGAGCGATAACAAAATTCAATCTGAAACTATTTTCTTCAGCTGACCGGTCCGAATGATTCAAGAATTTTTCAAAGATATTCGCTTCATATTTGTTGTTTTTTCGTTTTTTGTTTTATTACGTGATGTTTAAGGTTATTGTTTTGAACTACGAGAAAAATAAACAAATATGATGTTTCATATCTACTTTGTGTTGAGTCCTGGGGTGAGGGAGTTCGGATAAACTCACGCACAAGGCGGTTACAAGTCATCCTGTGGAGGAGAAATCACGCATCGATAAATCACAGAAACGAAAAAAAGTCAATCACGAGGGCAGAAAATGACGCCAACTTTTTTCCTGGGATTTTGACGGATATTGAAATCATATCTGGGAATTCAGCCGCCAGTCAGCGTAGCCAGGCGGGACTGCTATTGTTATAGAGCCTCTCTCTATATATATATTTATTCTATATGTTTGTGGATAGGGAGGGGTGTGAGAGGGGGGAGGAGGAGATACAGAGGGGAGGATAGCGAAAGAGAGAGGAGAAGTAGAGAGAGAGAGAGAGATAAGCTATAGTGAGTCCATTGAATAACAAAGTGGATTATACAGTAGCTGAAGGCGTGTGTTGCCTCTTGATTGGTTTGTTTATGGGGGTGATGTGGGGGCTTCCAGAGACATAGACGGCGTTGGATGAAGGGGGGTTTCCAGACAGAGAGACAGGCGTGGCTCTTGGCTGACATTGTTTGTTAACTTGTTATTAATAGTTTATAATATAAGGCGGTTAATGATTATTATTGTGATATATAGATAATATAATGACCTGACCTCTAGTGAAAGTTGTATTGGTTCACTTGTTTCTTGATTTAACTCAGATATAAAATTGTTTATATTATGTTTATTTTTCCATGTAATGTCTATGTAATATATATATTTTCCAGGTTTTTTTATTTTTTCATATATTTTTTTTCCATATTTTCTTTTAATATTGATAATGAAAAAACCCCACAATTATTTTATACTTTGATACCCTCTATGATATCCTGAATACAGTTGTTTTTAGTGTATCAGGAAGACTTATATTTTTCTAAGGTATTATACGCTACAGTAAGTTATATTATGTGATTTTGTTTACCTACTGTAGTAAAAAAAAATACAGATGATAATATATTGTGTTTTCTGTTACATGTACGTACACAGCTGTGAGTGAGTTGTGGTCATCTGTGGCCGCTCAAGTAGGTTGGGAATTTTTGACATAGGATTTTGTTATGGCGGTGTTGTTGGAGAGAGGAGGAGTGGTGTGTTGTGAGGGAGACGAGGGTGTGTTGTAGGGAAGAGAGGGGTGTGTTGTGAGGGAGACGAGGGTGTGTTGTAGGGAAGAGAGGGGTGTGTTGTGAGGAGACGAGGGTGTGTTGTAGGGAAGAGAGGGTGTGTTGTGAGGAGACGAGGGTGTTGTAGGGAAGAGAGGGGTGTGTTGTGAGGAGACGAGGGTGTTGTAGGGAAGAGAGGGTGTGTTGTTGAAGAGAGGGTGTTGTAGGGAAGAGAGGTGTTGGTGAGGGAGACGAGGGTGTAGGGAAGAGAGGTGTTTGGTGGGATGAAGGGACGAGGGTGGTGTGTTGTGATGAGAGGGGATGTGTTGTAGGAATAGGGTGTTGTTGATGGGAGAGGGGTGTATTGTGAGGGGGATATGTTGTGGAGGAAGGAGAGGGTTGTGTTGGGGGGGGAGGAGAAAGAGAGGTGTATATTGTGGTGGAAAGAGGGAGAGAACTTTATAATGTGAGAGGGGAAGGAGGAGGAGGAGGAGAAAGTGTGGCGTGTTATCCTCACTACCACAGAATTACAACAGGTGTGGAAATATTACCTATGGATCCTTTTCTTCCTCCTAATATAATTCCCAGCTTAATAAAACTTCATCCAAGAGTAAGTGTTTTTGTTCTTGTGAGCCTTAGCAGGGAGACTCCTTCTTTGCACTCAAGAGTCTTCAACCAAGTGACTCTCATGATTCCAAGCGACCATCTTGTGACATCTTGGGTCCCTAGACATCTAGACACGTGTGACATCTTGGCTCTCTTGTGACATCTTGGTTCCCCTTGTGACATCCTTCTCCCTTGTGACATCTTGGCTCTCTTGTGACATCTTGGCCCCCTTGTGACATCCTTCTCCCTTGTGACATCTTGGCTCCCTTGTGACATCTTGGCTCCCTTTGTGACATCTTGGTTCCCTTGTGACATCTTGGCCCTTTGTGACATCTTGGCCCCTTTTACATCCTTCTCCTTTGACATCTTGGCCCTTTGTGACATCTTGGTTTCTTGTGACATCTTTGCCCCTTGTGACATCTTGGCCTCTTGCACTTTGGTGGTAGTGGGGAGGGGGGAGTGGTGTAGTGGGGGAGGGGTGATGGTGGTAGTGGGGGAGGGGGGTGATGGTGGTAGTGGGGGAGGAGGGGGTGATGGTAGGGGGGAGGGGTGAAGGTAGGGGAGGGGAGGGGTGGAGTGGTGGTAGGGAAGGGGAGGGGTGATGGTGTAGTGGGGGGAGGGGAGGTGATGGTGGTAGTGGGGGATCGGAGGGTGATAGTGGTAGTGGGGAGGAAAGGGTGATGGTGGTAGGGGGGAGGGAGGGGTTTGATGTGAAAGTATATAGAACTAGATGGTAGGTATTATGTAGGTTTGGTGAAGAGTGCGTAGGTATAAAGGTGTGTTGGTATAAAGTGTGTTGGTATAAAGTATGGTGTAGGAGGAGATAAAGAGACAGAGACAGACAGAGGCGTGAGTTTGGTTAGTGAATAAGCCTATGAACCTATCGAGGAAAGTCTTAAATTAAAAATCATGGCTCACGATAGAACACAGAGGGTCAGCGTAGATGGTTTAAATCTGAGTGGGTGTAAACTGAGTGTTCCTTAGGGGTCAGTATGGGCCCACTTTGTTCATAATCTACATAAACGATCTAGATACTGGGATCAGCAGTGACATAAGTTTGCGGATGACACCCAGACGGTAGATTAATTCAGGGTAGATGCAAGTGCACTACAGGAGGATTTAAATAAACTGCAGGAGTGGTCTGAAAAATGGCAAATGAAATTCAACACCAGCAAGTGCAGCGTACTTAATATTGAAGAACAAATACTGTCAATGTATACAGCCTTAACAACATCAACCTAGAGAAGTCGACTTGAGAAAGAGACTTAGGGTATTAGAAGCCCGGACCTTCGGCCTAGAAACAGTGCGTTAATGTTCAATAAGCAAACAGAGCATTGGGTTTTATATCTA